CTGTAATCCCATCTATTTAGGAGACTGAGGTCAAGAGGATCACTTGAGCCCAAGAGTTTTGAGGTTGCTGTGAGCTATGATGACGTCATGGCACTCTACGCAGGGTCACAGAGTGAGACTTTATCTCAAAGAAAAGAAAAAAAAGTATCGTGTAGGAAATGAAAAGACAAGTAACAATGAGAGGAATTATTTGTAAATTATCTAATACAGGACTTGTACTCAGAATATACAAACACAACTCAGTAATACCAAAATAACCAATAATTAATTACAGTAGCTATTGTATAAATTCTTTGGGATTTTCTATGCAATAGCATTATCTACAAAAATAGTTTTATTTCTTCTTGTCAAAACAAAAAAAGACAAACAGCCCAATTTTAAAATGGGCAAAAGATTTTGGATAGTTCACCAAAGAAGATATATAAATACACATGAAAAGGTGCTCGATATCACTATCTTTAGGAAACCAAAATGAGGTAACACCACATACCCACTAGAATGGCTCTAATAAAAATATGTAAGACCATAAAGGGTGGCAAGGATACAGAGAAACTGATCAAGGATACAAGGAAACTGAGAAACTCTAATACACTGATGGTAGAAATGTAAATGAAGCCATTTTTGAACAGTTCGACACTTCCTCAAAATGTTTAAGTTACCATAGGACATAGAAATTCCAATTCTAGTGATATACTCAAGAGAAATAAAACACATGCCCACATGAAAACTTGAGCATGAATGTTCATAGCTGCACTATTCACAAGAGCTCCAAACTGGAAACATTCCAAATGTCTACAACTAATGAACAGATGAATAAAATGTGACGTATTCATACGATGAAATTCTATTTAGCAATAAATAGGAATGAAGTACTAACATAGATTATGACTTGGCTGAACATCAAAAACCTGCCAACAGCAGCCAAACTCCAAATTGTGTGATTCTATTTATGTGCAATGTCTAGAAAAGCTAAGTATATATAAAGAGAAAACAGAGAAGTAGCTGTACTGAAGGTGATAATAGGAAAAAATACAGTGAAGAGTATTTAATGTTGTAGGTATCCACCTAGAGCTCATATAAATGAGGGAAATGAACTGGGTCATTAAGAGTGACACTATACACTCATAAACATTAAGCTGACACTTAACTTTTCAGAGCAGTTGCTCAGTGCAGCTGTGTTCTCTGCTTCAAGGTCCAGGACATGTTTGACCCTGTCCCCCATGGCTAAAGGTCATGTCCTTTTTGTATACCCCAAATTCTTGGAGATTTTTCTTCACTGCATCACATACATTATAGTGGAATTGTTTTGGTGTCTACTGGGCAAGGAGAGTGTTATCTTCCTTATCTTTGAGCTCTGATGCCCAGTCAGTTCTAGGAACAGAGCAGGCATCTGTGAATGTTTATCAATTTAATGAAAGGAAAATTGGGGCAGGGAAAGGAAATTTTGTACTAAATAAGTTTGAAAGGAGACAGGAGCCCAGAAATAGTATATGTATTAATGTAGGAGTAAGGCTAGACTTGTTTTTGAACTGGAGAACTATACACCAGGTTATATAGGTCTGTATAATAACCAAAATTTAAATATAGCTTCCTTGGATATGGTAAAAAATTCAATTTTATCTGGAGCAGTCAATCCACAACTTATTAAACTTCCTAAGATAGTCTGCTCAGCAAGCAGAGCACTAGAGAAATCTTATTTTTTTTTGCAAATACTTGCCAGAATTAGCACAAAAACCTAGGTATAGTTTTTGTATATATGGGTTAGTGCTGAGGAGCTACAACAGGAGTACAAGCCTGCAACAGGCCAAGCAGGTCAGGCCAGCTCTTTCCGTCCTTCTCTTTTCTATCCCCTCATCTTACCCAGTCTCAAGTCAAATGCAGGGCAAGCTGGGCAACTTCAGCTCAGAAATGAACAGATGACCCCTGATGTGGCCTGGTGCACACTGTTCTCTACAACTTCAGATCAAGGGTGAGATTCAAAGTCGCTAAGTCAAAGCATTACAGGGGTGGGGAACATATGATGTGGTCTTGGGGCCATATGTAGCCTTCTGGATCCTTGAGTGTGGCCTTTTGACTGAATCTAAACTTCACAAAATTTGTTCTGTGAAGTCTGGATTCTATCCAAGAGTCATACTTGGGGATCTGGAGGGCCACATGTGGCCTTGAGGCCGCAGGTTCCATACCCCACCAGCCAGTTTCTTAGATTCCTAGCCTCCATCTTAGAACAGGGCCCTAGCAAGTAGAGGCCAGACACCTAGAAACAGGGGTAAGGAGAAGGTCTTCTAGAGCAAAGTCCGTAGGGCAAGAGACACCAGGGGAGAAAGTCAGGAAGACGGGACAAGGAGTCAGGAAGAAATGGTGAAGGGTACTTAGCTTGGCAAAGACTGACTCTGTTGCTCTCCGAAAGAGCGTGAATAGGATTACAGACTTCGAGTTTGGGAAAAACTGCTGTTTAGTTAGATCAGGAATGAGGGGTAAAAAAAAAAAATGTGGGGTCTAAGCGTTGAGTGACCCTTGACCCTTTGAGGCTAGGGTCCAGATTCTTCCTGTGCCTGGGCCCTGATGCTAAGCAGAGTCCCGGAGTCCCGGGGCGTACTGGGCAAGGAGGCGGGCCAGGCGCCAGAGGGTGTGACCGAAGGCTGGGGGCCGATCCACGAGCTAGGCCGGAGCTTCCGCCACTCCCCGCGAGCCGAGCAGGCGAGTGAGGGGCTTCCTGCCTGTGAAGCCCCCGGACTCACCTTCCTCCCTCCCCACCGGCTGGGCACCGGACACGGCTTCCCACAGGCGGCGCGCCCTCTCGTGGTCGAAGCGCACCCCGTCTGGCTCCCGGCCCTCCCGCTCCTCGGAGCTGTTGTATGGCCCGGCCCCTCCGCCGTCCGCGGTCTCCACTGTGGACAGCGTCAACGTGGGACGCTCCATCTTCCCCGTAAGCCCTGACCGATCGAGAGCCGCTCTTGCGCCTTGGTATCGCGAGATGGGGGGGTAGGGGACGGGAAAGACAGTGTAGAAGGAAACTTGGCCCGGCTAGGAAATCTCGCGAGGTTTGGGCGCTGCCGACCGCGTTATGGTGCGGACCCTGGCGTTAATTTTTTTTTTTTTTTTGAAGGGGGGGAGTGTGTGCTAGCTCTGGGACTGCGACGCATGTGTTGTGGGTTCGAAAACCGGAGGCAGAATCCACAGCAGCTCCGGCCCCCAAGGGGTTCGAGTAGTGCGTGGCTCAGGGTTCTTACTTTGCTCATGGTCAGCCTTGGACATGTCTCTTTTCGTTCTCATTAAGATTCTGTTACGTGGGAATATTTCCCCCATTTCATTGGTAGGGAAACAGGTCCAGGACTTAGAAATAGTTTAAAAAGTTCGCTCCTAGTGAATGGTAGAGTTGGGGTTCCATATTACTGTTAGGAATAGAATTTGTTGCGTTCCTGGTGTCAGCTCCCATCTTAGACCTTCCTCTTAACTCTAGACGCATCCAATTGCCTGTTCAATTCTGCCTGGATGTCTAACAGACTTCTTCAAAGTAACTGTCAACCCCCAAATTTTATCTTCCAATCCTAGTCTTTGGAAGTCATTTCTTGCCTAGGTTATTGTATTAAATAGCAGCATCCTTCCTGATCCCTTCCCTTGCCCTACAGATATTCCCAGGACAAAAGTCCCAGGGATCTTGGTCATGACGTACCCAACGCGAGTGGAATTATAGAGAAAATACCAGCACACTGAATTCAAATTAGGTATGGGGTCCTTTATTGACCAGCCAACGGAGATGGATTCATCACAGAGGAAGGGTTTTTTTTAAAAATACCTTTTTGCAGTTGAAGGGTGATGGTGGTTAGTTACCAGGGGAACCGAGGATAGGAATGCCGTTTTACATGGGTCTGTTGTGACTCTGGGCTAATCCCCTGTCTCTACAGGATATGTTTGTTTAACAGCCCATTTCTACAAGGCGTATGTCCTCAGAGGGAGGAGGAAGAAAATGCAAATTAGGGTTTGTATGGCTACTCAGACACTCCAGTTCTCAAATCCTACAGCTGCTTCCCATCTCAATCTTAGTAGGAGCCAAAGTCTTTACTTTGATGACCACCAAGGCTCATACCAGTGGTTCTCAACCTTCCTAATGCGGAGACCTTTTAATTAATACAGTTCCTCATGTTGTGGTGACCCCCAACCATACAATTTTTTCGTTGCTACTTCATAACTGTAATTTTGCTACTGTGATGAATTGTAATGTAAACATCTGATTTGCAGGATGTATTTCATTGTTACAAAGAGGTCACCAACCAAGGATGGAGAACCATTACTTCCCTTAACCTCCCTGATATCATTTCCTATCTGTGTTGCTGAGCTCCCAACCCCCTTAATTCCTAATTCTTAATTATACTGGCTTCCTGGAACACATTTCTCCTATATATTCTCATGGCTCAGTCTCTTATTTCCTTTTCTGGCTACTCGAATATTTTACCTCACCATATACATTTTGTGTTCTCTTTTCCCACTTTATTTTGTTCTATTTAACACTTATCAAACTTTATATATATATGTGTGTGTGTGTGTGTGTAGGTTTTTTTGTTTGTTGTTTGAGACAGTTTTACTCTGTGCCCTGGAGGAGTGCTGTGGCACCATAGTTCACAGCAACGTCAAAGTAGACATTGTGTATATTTTACTTTTTATCTTGTTTATTATTATTTTTTTTTGAGACAGAGCCTCAAGCTGTCCCCCTGGGTAGAGTGCTGTGGCATCACAGCTCACAGCAACCTCTAACTCCTGGGCTCAACCTAATCTCCTGCCTCAGCCTCCCAAGCAGCTGGGACCACAGGCACCCGCCACAACGCCTAGTTGGTCGCAGCCATCGTTGTTTTTTTTTTTTTTGGTGGGCTGGGGCTGGATTTGAACCTGCCACCTTAGGTGTATGTGTCTGGCGCCTTAGCCACTTGAGCCACAGGTGCCGAGCCTATCTTGTTTATTGTTTATCTCCCTACTAGTGTTGTACCCAGATTGCAAAATTCCCAAAGATCACCCAGGAGCCGATACCAATGCAACAAACAAAAGAGCTGTTTATTCAAGCTGGAGTTCAGACCCTCAGATCATCCCAATGCAGCGGGGCAGTACTGAGGGCCCTGAGCCTCTGGACATGAGGGTTTTTATGGGGTTCTAACAAGGGTGGAAGGTGGCTTCCAATGGGCAACTTGGGGGGTTTCTAATGGGTAGCTCAGAGGTCTCTAACAGGTAGCTCAGGGGTCTCTAACAGACAACTCTTCTGATTGGTTGGCCTTTCTGCATACAGATGCATCTGATTGGCTTTCACCAGGGGTGGTTATTTTCAGGAAACATTTGCAGTTTTTTTTTTAGTTGGGCCTAGTCTTGACCTGTTCTCTCATTCCCCCCTTGACTTGCAACTAAGAAGACCCAATCATAGGTCTGGAGCAGTGTCTGGTAAATCTGCTAGGAGTTGTACTGTGATCTTAGGACCATGAGTTGCACTGCTCCCACTCATCCTTTGATAAAAGTGAGGAGTCTATTGATGACACAGGGCCCAACGGTTAATAGTAGTAGCAGTATGAATAAGGGTCTGACAAGGGTAGATACCAGAGTTGTCAACCGGGGGACCAATTAAACATTGCTTCATACCAACCCTGTGACTGTTCTCGCTCTAGTTTCCATTTCTGGAGACCTTCTCTAACTAGTGCCATGGATTCTTTAACCACTCCTGAATGATCAACATAAAAGCAACATTCTTCCCATAGGGCTGCACATAAACCACCCTGTTGTAAAAACAGCAAATCTAGCCCTCTTCTATTTTGGAGTACTACTTCTGAAAGGGAAGTAAAGGGATTCTTGAAGGTGGAGTACTACTTCGGAAAGGGAAGTAAAGGGATTCTTTCGATGTCCAAGTCTATGGTGGACCTTAGGGCCCCATAGTTCCAATCCTGCAGGACGAGTGCTGAGACTCCTGTTCCTGCTCCAACGAGTCCTAATCCTAAGATTACTGACAGGGTGATAGCTATGACCGGCTCTCTCCGAACTCGGTGACTGTAACTTTCTAATCTTTGTTATATTACTTCTTTCTCATGGTAGATGAGTTTGGGAAACAGTTGTACTAATACACAGAAATCTCTGGTTGAATTTAAAACTGATGTTTGTATACAAGGGGCCAAACCTGTGGAGCACACTTACCACCCGTAGCTGGGGGGGGGAGCTGAGGTAGCCTGTCCCGTTCCATTGGTGGGTCAGATTATATAGATGTCTGTGAGAGAGGGTTACTTGCCCAACGCAGGTCCCCTGCCCTGAGACAGACTGGAGAGTGAGAAGGGGATGACCATGCTATTGCCAGCGACAAGCAGTTCCCTCTGTGGTGAGGGTAAAGTTGTCTTGGAGGACTATCCCTTCATGATAGGGAGGCTTTACATCTAGGCATAACCAACAGGATTCAATGAGGTCTGGTCTTGACTTATTTAACACCTGGTAAGTTTTGGTAAGGAGGTTCCAAATGGGGTCAGGGTCAGTTGTACCTGGGTTGGTGATGTTACCTAGGATCGGAGAAATGGTTTGTGGTTTGTGGGTGTAAGATAGTGGTTGCAAAATTAGGTTTGGGCCCACCGCTATCAATTTGTCATTAGAGAGGGAGGTGTAGAGAACCTTAATGGTGACAATGCCCCCTTGGGTCGCAACTGACCCACCTATCTTTATCATACAATCAGATACCCCAGGTCTTGCTGACTTCCCATCCTAGGCTCCACTTCCTGGCCTTAGTGAAAAAGGCTCACTGGATTGCACTGTGGCTTAGTTTCTCCTGCAGTGCTGGAACAGGCTGGGGTTCCTCTCCTGGTTACCTTTAAGAGGTCCTTACCTCGGGGTCGGGCACCAAATGTGGAGGTTCCCCCTCGTGGAAACTCAGCTCCACGAGGAGCCATTACAAGTATTTACACCTCCACACTGGTCCTGTCTATGACCTGGGCACACGTAAAAATAATGTGACTGCAGGAGCTTAGGGTTTCCGATTCACCAGGGGCATTTTACACGATCCTCTAAATCTTTGATGACCTCTAGGAACCAAGTACCTCAGGGGTGTATCCCTGAGGTCTGATTTAAGATGGTCCCTGTGCTGGCGTCTATGACCTGCCAGGTTATGTTTAGAGACTGATGTGGGTTCGAGGGGGAGGCACAAAGAATACATACAGTTACAGTTAGCAGTATTACATAGATGGTGTAAAACACCTGAGCTTGAGTTTTAAGGGGTTGTTTCTGTCCTGTTCGATTTTCCATTGTGGGATGAAGTCTTCTCTGATGGTGATGGGGTCTTCTAGCCTGGTGTGGGTGTAGTGGACCCAGGTGGCAATCCTGTCGACCTTGAGGGTGGTGGGCATTGTCAGGACAATGATGTAAGGTCCTTTCCACCAGGGCTCAAGCATCTCTTGCCAATGCCTCTTGACGTAAACCCAATCGCCAGATCAGAACTTAATGTGGTTCTGGGGTGGGGCTGGCGTCATAGATAGCTCTGAGGTGAGGCCGGACATCCGAGTGGACCCATTGGAGACATTGTAAAGTGAGGAGTAAGTTATGGTCCTCTAACTCTGCTATTAAGTCTGATTTCAGGTTGGGAGTAATAGGAGGGGGCCTACCAGACATGATTTCATAAGGGGTATAAGGGGAGTTTGTGACTCTATATAGGGCATAGGGAAGGAGAACCACGCATTCCCCGCCAGTCTCCATGGTCAATTTAGTCAGGGTCTCTTTTAAAGTTTTATTCATCCTTTCTACCTGTCCTGTGCTTTGGGAGCAATATGTACAATGTAATTTCCAATCTGCCCCCATTGCTATTGCCACCCCTTGAGTTACCTCAGAGATGAAAGCTGGCTCATTGTCTGATCCCAGCAGGGTAGGGAATCCATACCTGGGTAAGATATCTTCCAGTATTTTCTTGGCCACTGTTTGGGCTGTCTCATGCTTGGTGGGAAAAGCTTCGACCCAATCAGAGAAGGTATCTATAAA